GGGCTTGGCAGAACATCTATTACAATTCACGACATAAGATGCCCAGATTCAGAGAAGAGAGAACCTGCTGGATTTTGCTGAAAGAAATACAGCCGAAGTTCTTCTCTCTCGTCCGTGAAGCCCTCTCGCTTCGCCAGCGGATAGTTGCAATTCGACAATCGCTCAATTTCCTCCAACGTTGTAAAGAACAATAATTTCGTGCCTGCGTTCATCTCAAGAAAGAAATTGGGAACGTTATGCGGTCTTTCCGAAGATGATGCGAGAATAAGAAGCTTATACTACAACATGCTGAAAATTGTGATAAAGGAGAGACAATTTTATATAGCTCATTGCTGAGATGTAATGCTAAAGAGATGTACTGTAAACGTTTCTTACCTGAAGATCTGTGGAGGAGGACTGAGAGAAGATCGAAACTGATCTGTGACTCTATCGGTCTAAGGTCAGATCTAGGCTTATTACGAAGTACGACCGACTTTCAGGCACACTGCGTGAGAGGCATTGCGAACAGAAAAGCCAATCCACCGACCGCAGGAAGATTCAGCTACAAATGATTCCGTGAGTGCAAGGATTACTGTCATTGGCAGCATTCATCTTACGCCACACGCTGTAGAATTTCTTAGTCTCGGACCATCATTCTCGCCTTCGCGAAATATCACAGCTTCTGTTTGTCGCAAAATAGTGGGTAGCTTACACGCAATGCGAGATACGTTGAGAATAAGAGCCATGCAGGAAAGCTCCCTCCTTACCCCAAGGTCAATCCATTGTTAACATCGATACCATTCCCTCGATCTTTTTATAGAGAATCAAGACCAGTGCCTTCTGCTGACACGAAGTTTCGCGTACTTTTCACTGAGATTTTTAAAGTGTTAAATAATTTCAAACGCAAACGTCAAACTAATTTGACGTGGGAACAACGGCAGGGCTTCAAAGAAGTGCGCGATTTGCTCAAACAACAATCCATCCGTATCTCAGTTAGTGACAAGGGTGGCGAATTTGTAGTAATGCCGCAGTCTTTAGACCGAGAGATTGCAGAAATGCATCTTTCCGACGCGACAATCTACAAGCAAGCGACGAAGCGAGACTTCCAGATGCAATGTAAAAGGTTGAACGAAGTTTGGGTTTCTGTGGCTAAAGCTGCAGGCCTTGACGAAAGATTAGTTAGCAGGTTGAAAATGGAAAATCCGATCTGTCCAGTATTTTACCATCTAATTAAGACTCATAAAATTGCAGCACACGAGAATCACTCTATATCACCAGCAACCTATAAGGTACGCCCTATAATAAGCTGTGTTAGCATCCCACCGACAGAATATCATGGTTTCTCAATAAGATCGTAAGCCAGTTGTTACCAAAGGTGCCATCGCATCTATCCAATACTCGGCGGTTCATGCAGTTGCGGGATATGAACATCGAACATGATAGTATCATCGAGTCTTTCGACGTAACATCCTTGTACACAAATGTTCAGAACGATGCCGCACTGCAAGCGTTGTCAGAGATGTTGGAGCTTCACTACAACGATATGGTCACCTTTGGATTGAGCAAAGTGTGCATACTGACCCTCATCAAGGAATGTTTGAAGTCATCTTTAGATGGTCTGGGAATTACTATTCTCAGATCAAGGGGCTGGCTATGGGTCAACGACTAGCTCCAGCCCTTGCGATTTGCTTCATGGGTAAGATAGAGGAGCCAGTACTTGCACGCCTGCCCCCATAATGTACTGTCGATACATCGACGACTGCTGTGTAATAACATCGACTCAGTCCGAAATGGACGAATGTTTCGAACTTTTGAACCAGCAATCACAGTACATTGGGTTTACCAGAGAAACCCCGTCCAGTGGGTGGCTTTCGTTCCTGAATACCCAGATAAACTTATCTGGTCTCACGATTCGAATGAAATGGTACAGGAAAGAAAGCTCAAAGAATATTATAGTACATGCAATATCAGCGCATCCTACAACGACGAAACGTGCAATTCTTAAGAACATGTACAGAACAGCTGTAGAAGTTTGCACTGGCGAAGAAGAGCGGCTCGAATCCACTAGATTGGCTACAACGATTGCGCGCAACAACAGCTACACAGATCCGCATATTGGTAGACCTCCACGATCCAGTGATAGTCAAATTGCACGCAAAGACGAGAGAGTCCCACTTTGCATACCTTTCATCTCCGATGAAATGAGTGCAGCGATAAAGCAGTGCATTGCTCGAGCACAACTGCAAAATGAGGTTGTACTGGTAAACATCCCGAACGAAAGTATCAAGAAGCAGTTGGTGCGAAACAGGTTATACGATACCAGTGCGTCACCTCTGCTTCGCAGAGGCTCGCACTGGCCCTAGTTCTATGTGCCTTACTCATTCTCGTAGAATTGTGGCACTGGAACTCACCGCGCTATGCCACTACCACGAATATAATGTAAACAACTACTCATTTAAAAAGCTTTTTCACGTGAGATCGGTGATTTCGCGTGGATGAAACTTTTCGCAGGAAGAAAAACTCAAATTTGGAGAGGTTTTTGAATCCGTCATGGCTTGGTAGTCACCATAAAGGCAATGGTAATCGTGAGCTACATCTCTGTGCGAAAATCTTCTAAAATGGCTAGAACCTTGGCAAATTGACCATTTACGCAACCAATACTTTTTGGCGCCGTTTTCGTTATGTATCAGGTTGTCCCATAAGTTCCGTCCGTTTCAATTTTCAATCTCATTAAGTCATGAACTTCTTGGTTCTAGGCAGCTTTTGAGGTAATGTTCGATAGAGCAAAGCAAGCTCTACAAGATGACTTTCTTACTTTCGCAACAGTTCAAATCCATCTCGAGTTTGAAGCCAAAAGCCGAAAAGATCCAAAAGTCCGAAAAATAAAGAAAATCGTAACTCCTTCCAAAAAAATCCTAGAAAATTCCTAGTTTGCTCACAGATACGCTATCCACATCAGAAATTTATATATACCGTTCCTGTATTTTTTCCTTGAATAGAAATCGAAAAAACAGAAAATTTCATGTTGTTGCCAAAGTGATGCTGTGTTGTCTCCACGTTCGCATTTGTATACTACAGACGTACAAGTAGAGACACAAATTTTCAGCGCTCTACAGGCTTAAGTTCTCGAGAAACATTGAATTTAGCTTCGCACACTCAGATGTGCCATATTAAAACGATTATTTCTCGAGAACTAAAGCCTGTACAGCGCTGAAAATTTGTGTCTGTGCTTGTACTGGTCTGTAGTATACAAATACCAACGTGGGGACAGCACAGCATCACTTTTTCAGGAACATGAAAATTTTCGTTTTCTCGATTTCTTTCCAAGGAAAAAATACAGGAACAGTATATTTAAATGGCTGATGTGGATAGCGTATCTGTGAGCAAACTGGGAATTTTCTAGGATTTTTTTGGAAGGAGTTACGATTTTTCTTTATTTTTCGGACTTTTGGATCTTTTTGGCTTTTGGCTTCAAACTCGAGGTGGATTTGAACTGGTGCGAAAGTAAGAAAGTCATCTTGTAGAGCTTGATTTGTTCTATTTAATGGTATCTTGCAACCTGTCTAGAACCAAAAAGTTTATGACTTATTGCGATTGAAATTAAAACGGACGGAACTTATGGGACAACCTGATAGTAAACTTTTGACCACTTTTTGGGCTAAAGTCCATCGTTTGCACATTCGCTAACCAAACACACCCACGACTTTGCAAAAAGTGGTGATACGGACCCATTTTTCCGGGAAAGAAGCCAGGTGGATCCGTTTGGCGCGCGATTTCTGAGGGATCCACTCAACGAATCTACTCGTGCTTTTGCACGTTAGACTTTCATGAAGGGAGCAGGCGCTATGCAAAATTTGGGCTCAGAAGACTGGCTGGAACACGCTCTACGAATTTCGTAACAGACGAACACACACACACAGACACACACACACAAAAACACGTAAACAACCCTTAGCCCGTTATTATAAGGTCTTGATAGAATGCGTAACAGAGCAATGCATTGCTTGCTCATACGGAAAATTAGGAGATTGCGCGAAGTCAGGGGTCGTATACCAACTAGTGTGTTCAAGTTGCGGAGCGTCCTATATAAGTGAGACGGGCAGAGCATTGAATATCAGGGTCAAAGAGCACTTAGCAAACAAAAGACGAGGGAAATTGGTATCACCGTTGGGAAAGCATAGATTTGAAGCACATGGCGGAGCTGAGTTTGAGGTCGAATGTTTTATCTTGGCATACGAGACAGAAATTTCTGCACGAAAGATACTGGAAGCTCTGTGGATCTCTTTGAAGAGCCCAAGCATGAATAACAAGAATGAATGCCTGTCAGTAACGAATGGTCTTCTGCCTTTTCTATCACTATGTGAACAGTAGCTGCCTTATATATAGACGTGACACACCGAGTGACACTCAGAGTCGTCCGTCCGCAAAACTCTGCGGCTATCGTCCGCTGCTTCCTGCGGACCACCAACATCTTCATCACGGTGGATCAACGGTTGGTTCCTTTTGCCAGCGTGCCTCTCTGTACGTTGTGCATAAGACGAGGTCTAGACTCGATAAGTACGGAGATGACGTTTGGCGGCGTAGTTTCACAGGTCAGGACTGCAATCATCTTTCAGACCTCCGAAGAAGACGACCTTGTCGAAACGTTAGGTCAATAAAGCTTCCACCGTACTAATCTGGGCTTGGCAGAACATCTATTACAATTCACGGCATGTATAAATGTTTCACGTGGAGTGTAAATGTGTGGGCAAGTTTGGGATCTGGTAAATTGCCTTTGGACAAAGATATGAATTTTTTTTAGATTTTCGGGTATCCCAAAGCTCTCAAATTTCAGCTTCTATCTCGTAATGTTCTGAAGCTGGTGCGAACACTTACATGCCATCTTGTAGAGCTTGTTTTGCTTTATCGAAGGGAACCCTGCCTTCTGCTTAGGACTGAGAAGGTATAAGTTATTGCGGTAAAAAGAAAATTGAAAAAAAAACTTATGAGACAATCTAATTATGGCTTGCTCTCATTAGGCCATGCTTGCCAAGTGTGTGGAACCCACAATCGAAAAGAGATATTCTAACCTTAAAAAAATTCAAGTGTCGCTCGTGTATAAAGCGATGATTATCCGTACGTTCCATCCTGTCAATGTAGGTTGAAAGTTGCATTCGAATTACCAAAGCATTTTGGCTAACTTAGTTAGTACTTGCTTTCCAAACAATTTGCCTTGTAATAGAAGTTGTGAGTGGATTCTGTGTTTGGAAACCGTGCAGCGACCGAACAGGTAGGTTTAGCTTCCATTGCATTGACTGTTCCAAGTACGCCCATCGTCTACTCGTTTTTCGCACGCACTTCTCTATGGTTACAAAAGCCTTACTCAGTTCTCTCTGCTTTCAAAACCTCTAGTAAACTTGATTGTGACTTCTGAGATTGTTAGGAATAAATGAATTTGCATATCTTGGGGAAGTCTTTTTTTTAGTTCTTGCATTCTATTAGGTCGTTCCGAAAGTTCCTTCCGTTTTTTCAACCTATCATAAAAACACATGGAATGAAGGTAGGGAAACGCTTCAGGCACTATCCGAGGCACCTTTTCTTCCTCTTTTCAACTCTCAAATTTCTATGCCACTCGCTTTAGTGGTCAGTGAGATAATGACCGAAATTTCGAACCCATGGTTTTTACCATATATAAGTTTGGCATTTTTCATAGTCTTCATTTTTGACTTTTGGAGAAGCTTTGATAGCAGTCAGATAGAGTAAACAAAGTGCAATTTAGCAATTTTTCGGCGTCTATAGCTAGCCTTAAAAATTCTTTAGAATTTTCTGATGCTACCAAATTCCACTTTTGGTGATGCCAAAACCATAAACAAGAGATTTGTTAATGTTCGGAGCGTATGTGTACTTTGTGACTTTGAAAAAGTGAAGACTTCTGGAAAAGTTAACTCAGAAAATACTGAGAAGCCAGTTGAAATTGCCAAAAAAATCCATTAAACTGCGCTTTGCTTGCTCTATCTGACTGCTATCAAAGCTTTTTCAAAAGTCAAAAAAGAAGATTGTGAAAAATTGCCAAATTTGGACATGATAAAAACCATGGGTTCGAAATTTCGGCAATTATCCCACTGATCACAAAAGCAAGCAGCACAGAAATATGAGAGTTGAAAAGTGGAGGAAAAATGCGTCGGAGAGTGCCTGAAGCGTTTCCCTACCTTTATTCTACGTGTTTTTATAATAGGTTGGAAAAACGGAAAGAACTTTCGGAACGACCTAAGATTTTCTACATGGTCGTGGGCTCTGTCACTTTTTTTTTTCAAATGTCGCTTGCTCAATCTTGCTCTTTTGCCGGCTTCACTGTATGCTGAACCACTGCTCCTTCTATCGCTCATCATAGAGGTGACTGGGTTTTTAACTCAACTATGTTTGCTACTCAATTTCAGAGATCTTCGTATGGCTGCCTGATATACGCTGTAGTGTTTCATGCATTGACACAGTCTGAACTCTTCGTCCTTCCGGTGTATTTTCCTTGCATTTTTGTTGAAATGTTCTTGGTCAGACTATTTCAGTCACATAGTCACCGTAGTGCTCTGTCTTTTGAATAGGACACACCATGGTCGTGACATTTTCAAGTTATCTCTCGCACCATCGCTGTGATGTAAGCATGATGTTAGCGTTGTTGAGCAAGCCAAATAAGAACTGGGACTACTCGCCAGGGTACGGATAATTTCATCGCCCTAGTGCTCATCCCTTTTTTCTTCCCTCGAATATGCTTATATTTTTACTCCACCATGCATTGTGCGTAACTCTGTACTAGTCTATTATTTCCGCAACACTGAGTTTAGGCACACTCGGGAGCAACAGATTCAAAAGTTATACAGAATTTATGACACGCAAAGACTGGGCGTCGTTGCGTCCGACCAAGATAGTTCGCGCATGGGAGAGACAGCAGTTGATGAGAGAAACGAAAGAGCGCTGTCACAGAGAAGCCCATACGCCCGCAGTTTTTGCGTGCGATAAATTGCCTATACTCTCTTTACTCTTCTAAGGTTGCTGATCATGTCACATGTTCTTCTCATTTTATGTCTTTGATTTGGCGTATTACTCATGATTGAAATCCATAAGAATAGATAGATAAACATGTGTCGAAAATTATCTGAAGACGCTTCGTATTAGGTTGGAAAAAAAGATTGTCGTTTTTACTCGTCATGGCATCGCAACAAGACAAATCTTTCGAATGTGTATGGAATACCATGCGATAGACCACACAAGCCCTACAATATCGCATTAGTGCTTTTATACCCAGTTATATCCACGTATGTTGTAATCATAATTAGATTGATGAATGTGAATAAAGTAAGTATAGGGATAAATCCTTTGAAGTATCTCAGCAAAACTCAGAAATTCCATTTTATAGCATTTTTTTAACGCCGGAAAGAAGATTTTTGCGGAAGTTTCAATGGAATTAAGCAACATTTCTCGCTTAACTTTTTCAAACTTAGGATTGAGTTTCAGAAGTTCATGAAAGCTGTTGAAGTTCAATAAAAAAAAACAGCGATTGAATCTTGCGCAGAAAGTCGCGCACTAAAATGCTGGTTCAACACATTCACGACAATACGACCCACGTGGGTCGTACGTGTTCTGCCGTTTCGGACCATATGACCCACCGGTGGGTCGTAAGATTCCTGAAGCTCTAGATGCCAGTATGTGATGGAATTCTACGGGGTTCTGGCACATGATTGACGACACCTTGGCAAAGCTCCATCCAGAGTGGTCCGAGTTCGGGATACTGTAATGTACTGTCACGGTAGGTATACCGTAGATAGAGGTAAGGCACAGACTTTAGCTCAAATTTTTCGCAGAGTGGTGCTGTTTTTGCAAATTCAAGTTTACATGCACGAGAATACAGGGAGAGCACGAGACTGATGTCAGCCCAGTAAAAATTATCGATTTTATTGATTTTATTGATTTTTCGCATTGTTCATCCCAGGAAGCTGAAACTTTACATGTATAGGTTTTTTAGTATGCTGATTACGAAAATAATAGTCTCAAGTTCTATGTGCATTCGATAGATCTCGCTTTTGCCTATAAACAACGTCCCAGAGCTTACTTCATCGATTATGGTTGATTTTTTGTGCGAGAAATCATAAAAAGTGCGTTTTTCTTTACCTTGTCCTCTTTCAGTGTTTTCGCAGCGACTTTGTTCCAACCTCGGCGATTATTGCTCAGGATAATGAGCGTAACAATCCAGATAATGTCCCAGGAGATAGAGAAGACAATGCGGAAGTAGAAATTCAAGTTGCGTGGACTTCGACAAACTTTAGCATCTTCTTAACTAACTCTTCTCTTGTTTATCTTCTTCTTGATAATCACCACTACCAACATATTTTTATTTATTCATTTATTTATTTATAAATAAGTTGTTTTTGGAACAATTACAAAGAAGAAATTAGCTTCTTCTCGTTTTCTCCCTCATCGTGAATTGCCTGGTCGTGAAACGAAAACCTACAAGTGGGAATGCCGCCAAATGAAAGATTCAAACTTATTGCAGCGTTTTCACCCGGTTTTTAAAAGTTTCGCTTCTTTATGCTAATTGTTTTGCACGTTCTTCTCTTCTCTAATACTCTATAAACAACATTCAAATTTTATGGGGCAGATATTCAAACAATTTTTGCTTTGAGGCTTTGTCTCTAGACTATCGAAGATATGGCAACTGTGCATATGAATGTGATGGGAGATGTATGTCCGTTGGAAAACCGTGGAAATTTTTTGGATGGGGATGCGAATTTCTTTGTTTTGTTCATTTCAAATCTTTTAAATTCCGTCTTCGAACTCCCCATGGATCAAACTTAGTGCAAAAGCAGTAATGCCATTTTGTAGTGCTCGCTTTGCTCTATCGAACACCAATCCATATCGTCCCCTCTACAGATCGTGCTACCCTTGTCTGCGTCTCAGACCTGCCATGTGTGGCTAACATGTTGGCAATGTGGCAAACATGTTTGCAACATGCCCCAACATGTTGGCAGAACATTCTGGCCACGCCAACATGTTGCTGCATGTTGCCAACGTGTTGCTGCCAACGTTGCCAATGTGTTAGTCACACGTGGCACGTCCGCGACGCCACAAGGGTAGCACGATCTGTGGAGGGGACGATACATGTTTTGGGGTTTGCCTTGTTGCTATGCCATGACAGGAAATTAAAAAGCGACATTTTTTCTTTCCAACCTAATTCAGTGATTATGATGTTGCCATCTCGTTCACTATGTTTTTTGTTGTTCTTGCAAGCTTCTTATGTTTTTGTCTTCCATTTTTTCTTATGTTTGCCCTTTATTCATCAGGCTTATGTTACATGCTAGCTAAAATGTTCTCCAAGCGAATATTTTTTTGACGGAATGCCGAGAAATGCATCATGTAAAGGAAGATCAGCGCTAAAAATCCTGCAATCTGCTCATTAGATGGCGCAAAATTGTCAAAAGCCAGCAGTCTCAAATATTAATCAGCAAAATCCTCCGCCATTTGTGTTATACCAACACCTGGGGCTGTGACACCATGACGTCTAGACGTCGTCGCGTGTTAGTCTAACGGCATATTCACTGTGTAATCGCGCAGCGGATCTGTGTTTCAGTGAACGCATACAAGATCTCCCCTCTCCTGTTCGGTCATTAAGGATAATACCATTACACTTTTTTCTGCCCTAAACCTGACAATTATGCGGAGGCGGTCTCCACCCAATTGTCAGGTTTGTCAGAAGTGACTAAAGCGGTGTCTCAGTACTCTCTAGAGATTATATGACTGCGTCAGCTCTATGCCTAATTTCACATCACCCGATGCGTGTGCCTTGCAGATCTGCAGAGCTGTACTTTCTGCCCACCTTAGCTCTTGATTGAAATCTGCGTATGACGTAATCTTGCAAAAGCAAAATAATGTCAAGGACAAAAAATGACTAAAGCGGTGTCTTGCGCAAAATTTGTACGCTCATGCTAGCTTCCTACCTTTCGACCACTCTATGCGGCCTAATAAGTGCGTGCTATCTCATTTATATGCAAAACAAGAGGATTACTCAAGATGTTGGTTTGGTTGTTTGTTATTCTAAGTCTGAGAAGGATTCAGAGAATGATATCTGCAGTCAACCCTTACTTTTTTCTACTTTATCAACATTTTGAACCAAAATTAGTAAAATTATGCAAAAATAGTTTTACAATTTACCGTCATATTTAGGTGATGGCTAGAAAACGAAGGATTTTACGATCTCCCAATGTCTTCAGTATTATTCTTCTGTTATCTACAATCCTGATATTCCTTGTAATCACTCACTATGTTTATTTTCATAGACCTGATAATTTGGTAAGTAATTTGAGTTGAATTAATTTTTTTGAATCAATTTCCGTTTTTTTTTGAACCAAGAAATATGCTATCTTTTCCACATCTCAGCGTGAAATTGAAAACTTCCTCAATTTTTATACTTTCCATTTATTTTTTTGAAGTCTCTAGTTTTCTTTTGAACTCCAAACTAACAATGTGGATCGGAAGAAAGGAGAAGGAAGATGTGTGTTGAATACCAAGCAATATCATTCAAAGCAAAGGGGGGGGGGGGCTAGCTGTAAGTTGGGGGCTAGCTGTAAGTTTATCTTATACGGTTGGTAAAAATGTCTCAAAAGTTTAGCGCTGCACCCTAGCTTAGCATTCATCAGGTTCATGTTCTCGGCGAAAACACTTATGGTGGCTGATACCAAAATCACAGTCTTCAACTATACGCACTTTTGAATTCTTGTAATTTGAACATAAGAAGTGGTTTTGAGATGTGGTGAAGTTTGAGATCTACTGTAATTACTACAATTATTTGAGCATGTGATAATCCTGAATAAGTCTACATCGATTCATCTAATGCCGAAAAGATAGCTATCTATCGCATTATTGTTCGCAAGAAGTTCTTGCTTTAGTAGATGGCATCTGCATATACGTCATGTTTCAACGGAATGCAGTTTTAGCATAGGATGAAACGTTGTTTTTGCTATCTTCTAAACAAACGCACGTTTTTTAGTTCCCTGATCAAGACGTCAGCTTGAATCTTAGCTTGAAACGTCCTGCGATTCGATCTCTGAATATTACTATCGTTGCAGTTATTAATAATGTCAGCCAACTCAGCGAATATCGGTGAGTTCACAAAAAGTTTTTTTGCCTGCTGCGAAACGGATTCCTTGCTGATTACACAGGATGCGGAAAAAGTACTGTCCCACAAAATAAAGGTAAAATTTGGCATGATCAGCTTTTCTGGTGATTTAGACATAAATATGCAACTTCACCCGCCGGCGGATTCTTCTTTGCAACGCATCCCATATCAGATCATGCAACTCTCTTTCACAAATGCGAAGAAAGTGTGAAGATTTTTAAAAATTCTTTTGGTTTCAACGAGAGTTTGAGAATTTTTCTACTGCTCAAAAATGCGATATGACTTCGAAAATACCGAATGTAGCGAATCAGCAGTCATACGAGGAGAAAATTGTGAATTTTTGTAATGAAAAGTGGCTGCGGCGCCATAGGGTGTGATCAAAAAGCGTGGCACAGAAACTGCGTACAATCGTTTATTAATCCAAAATTATGATATGGACAAAGCCCGATGTTCTTTGGATTATTTCGGTTACTTTTTTATGCAATCAGAGTTTCAAATTATAGCTTGGATCCGTTCTGACTAGCTTGTTTTCGATTTTGCAATTCGTCTGGTACACAATTTTCCTTATTTAGCCAAAACCTAAAGTCACTGATCTGTAATAAGTATAGAATTCTGGAGGAGAGAATATGCTCTACACACTACCCTAATTTGACACTGATATCGTTCTTGATGATAAGATTACTTTCCAAAATCGGCTCAAATGCTGCGATAGATCGTCAATGATCCTGCTCGCTGTTATTACTCGTTTGAATATCAGACTTATCTTATTTCAGTATCCAACCTCTCCCTTATATGTGGAAATTAAGGATAAATTTCTTTTCTCTTGAATTTTTTAGGACGCAAACTGAGACACAGTAGTTTTTCCGCACTCACATGTCTGAATGGTTCTTCTCTGAATAAATTTTCCAGATTTGCATTAGATACAGTGCGATGTTATTCCAAGATGCACAAATATCCTTTTCGATTAGTGAAAAGCTACGAATATCGCCACTGTCGGCATCGAGACGTAAGTCATCTTTTAGCCAAACTTTCTTCGAAACATAAATTTTTCAAACTGGAGAGAATTCAAACTAGGCTGATTCAAAAGTTTTGTCCGATTTTCAATTGCCTTGCTTTAACGCAGCTATTTGCTTAAGGTCTTGCACTCATGGCACTATCATAAAAATCATCTAGAAGTATGGGGCATTTGAAAAATTGTGACGATGGCGCGACCGCGCGCAGCATGCACGCGTTCCCAATTCTTGGTTTCTATCTCTACTCAATTAGTTTTTCCGCTTACATATGATAGTATTCGGGTACTGGAAGTGACTAAGCTTAGCGTTGAGGTGTTGCCTGTTTGTATGGGTGCTTTATCCTTCTGTGTGTGGAAAGACCGCAGTCAACTCATCGTCACGATTTTAAAAATCAACCATACTTTTCCTGCTCTTTCCAATGCTTACTGATGCTTGGCGAACCAACTTTTCTGTGATGAAATTTTGAGCCCCGAAGCAAAGTTGCCAAAATGCAGTCATGCCCAAGAAAAGTTTCCATGAAGGGGACTTCCGCAGTATTCGCAAAACTAAATACATGATGATTATAATGGTTGAGAATGTAATGAACTAACGTAAGCCACTTTTCCTCCGGCGTAGAGGTTGTTTTACTTTTCCAGTTTTTTTTTCAAAGATGGAAGACAAACCCAGTTATTCAACAAGCGACAACAATCTACATATAGCGACAGGTGATGCATTCAATATTGCATATGTCAGAATAAAGCGAGGGCAAGCAGGAACCGTCAGCCAATTGGCTTCTTTCATTTGCGACAGCAAGAAAAAATCAAGTATTAGAAAGTCGGCATATTTTCGCATGCGGAGGAGGGCTCAAATAAGGGGCTTTTTGATTTGCTCGCAAAAATTCCTATGCAACAAAGATAACTCGAATTCCCTTTGGCCGCAAAAAAACCTTTGAAGTATAGGCTACTTAATGATGGCAACCAAATATGTTTGTTCATCCTCATATGGAAGCATTTGTAAGTCAAACTGGACGGTTTTGAAGAAAACCTTGCAGATTTTGAAAAATTCTCTCTTCTCTCTTGCTAGCCTTCCTTACATGGCATACAGTGCTTGTGATAGCCATAAACTCGTTTGATTCAACAAAATTTAATTTGTTCAAAATTGTTGATTTTGAAAAAAGTTATAGGATTTCAAATGAAAAAATCGCAAATCGGACAGAACTTTTAAATCTACCTAGTATATAGTATATAGCTGTACGACACTACCATCACAATAAAAGACTAAACTGTGCTGCACAGATTCATCTTCAAAGAAAATATTGCTTCCTTTGCTGAAACGTACATAATTGGCCCTCTATCATGAAAGGGTGTCAACCTCCTGCCACGTATCAGAAAATCATTATATCATCTACGTGCTCAACAGATTTTACCGAGCGTTTGTGTTGCCTACCTTCCAACGTAACATGAATCTATCTAACCAGTAATGTACGCATTTGAGTTAACAACCTCATAAATGAACATTAACGTTATAAGCATGCCACGTTTTCAATGAAAATATTAGATTTGCTCAGACAGAGAATTGGCTACTGTTCCACCATCTGAGCGGTAAACCAAGCTGCGGCGAGGTGCTACAGGTCATTATCCATCTTTTTTCTTGCTAATTTCGCATGGCGGATACACTTTGAAGATGAAGATAACTTTGAATCATATTTAAGAAGTTGTGATAAACGTTTTGGACTGTATTGTTTCCATAAGAAATAACCGAGCATTTATTTCGTCTCACATGCTTCCGTAGCTTATCGCAAAAGATTTTGGAAAAAAGTTGTCAAATTGAACCAAAACGTGTTAACCTTTCCTTGACACGTGGCAGGAATCAGTCTTTATGGGATCTATAGGACAAATTCTTTAGATCAAAGCTCGTATCTCATGCAGTCTTTGCAGGCATGATAGGCTAAGGTAAGGTAGGGGACTTATATATCGCCGAAAGTGGGAGGTTCCTCCGGACATCTGCTACAAATACACTTTCCAATACATGCACAGGCTGAGTATCTGCTGCATTGTCCGCGCGGGACTCTTCCACTTTCGGCGACGTATAGTCCTCACCCGTCCGGCTAAGGGTTGTTTCATACTGCCGCACTGACTGCAGCAGTCTGCTGCAGTCTGCTGCAGTCAGTGCGGCAGTCTGAAACAACCCTAAGGCCCCGGTCAGACTTCACGCGAATCAATCGTCGCGACCGAATCGCCAAGATTTCCATTCATTTTCATTTCACATTCAAAAATTTCGGGCTGGAAAAGTATCACAACCGAATGCAAGTTGATCGACATGGAATGATGTTGTAACAGTTGTCTCGTCGCGATTCAGTCGCGACGATCGAATCGCGTAAAGTCTGCCCGGGGCCTAACGGAAAAGTATCGAATAATCTGTGGTGCGTGTAATCATAACTATCGGAGATCCGAAAAATTCTTTCGGGGTAAGGGGAGATAGCTTGAGAATTCTTCAAATACGCCGTACTGGTTAAGCCTGAAAAGTCAACGGTAATGCTTTTCAATTTCCTGCGGGTTTGCAACCCTTGGATTTTTTTTCACGAAGCTAATTTGATTTCACAAGATTTCAAAAATTATGATCGTTCACAAGTAGAACGCTTGTAGGGCATGTTTCGGCGCCACTGCGTCGTTGCTGAGGTGCTAAAAACAACTGACTGGGTCCTCTTCATTGACGCTGACATTGGCGTCGTGAATCCAAACAGGTGAGATCTTATATATAAAGCTGAATGTCTGTTTGTCTGTATGCTGTCTGTCTGTATGTATATATGTGTGTACGTATGTTCCGAATAGAAAATTCCATTTATGAATCGATCCGGACCAAATTGGCACGCACACACTTCAAGGCGGGTGTCATGGGCTGCTTTTCGTCATCGATCGATATCGATTTTATTGATTTCATCGATTATAGTTAGCTAGGGGACTGGGAGTTGGCACAGGGGGGGGGGGTAATCACGCATGCTGATTACGATTACAGTATTAGTTTCTGGTATTACTTATTACTTTCATCGATTTTATCGATTTTTTCATAACTTGAGCTGAAGGGCTGGGAGTTGGCACAGGGGTAAGTGGGCATGCTGATTAGAAAACAACACAGGGAACGGGAAATGAAGTGTAGAAGTGGGCACAGGGAAAGGCTGTACAGGGATACGGATGTGAGCTTTATCATAGTGTCTTGACAGGGCCGGGCGGAGCCGGGTAAGCCAGCAGTTATCAATAGGTACCAGCAACAAATACCAACAATCCCACTGGAACTTAGGCAGTGTCCGGGCAAAAACTCGATTTTGAGATTTTGTGCTTGTGCGGGCCTATTCGCCGGGTTGAATCTGAAAATGCACACTGGAAAGCGCGAAAACGGCAAAAAAGGGCTCTAGCGCAGGAGGGAAACAGCAAGTGGGCGAAGTCGTAAATGCTCTGTGCATTTATGCTCCCATCTTCCGGAGCGGTCTTCTCGATTCCGCTAACCGTCCTAACATCGCTACCGGCCAAGTGCGAATGATTGACTTGAAACCGGAAGCGAAAAGATCGCTCCGGAAGCTGGGAGCGTGAATTCACAGTGGAGAAGACCCCGCCTACCTGCTGATTTTCCTTCTGTGTTAGAGCCGTTTTTCGCCGTTTTCGTGCTCTTTAATGTGCATTTTTGGATTCGGCATAGCGAATAGGCCCGGGTTTGTGATTGAATATGTGAGTCTGCACTGTAAACGCGGTCATCGACAACACTTTGAAGTGACTCGCTGTTGGAGCCTTTTCTAGCGGAACAATATATGAAAATGTGTATACTATTTTAAAGTACATGTGCAATGGAACCAAAAGAGTGAAGAAAACAAAAAAGGGGTTAAATCTTCAAGTAATAAATTAGCGCGTGTGGTGTGCACCAAACATATTAAGCTACAAATGACTCGACGATACCACCAATGCTTTGTCTATGACTTCCGTCACATTAACGCACTGCCTCAAGTGAAATGCACCAATATTCAAAATCCCAGCTCATTACGCACTTTGATTCATATTTTTCATATTTTTTTGCGCTCCTTCGAGTCGAGAGTGTTTGTGAATTTCCAGGTTGATCGAAGAATACATCGATACAAATTATGATATCACCTTTTACGATCGTTTCTGTAGCTGGGAAGTAGCAATGGGCTCGTACATTGTCAAGAATACAGACTTTTCAAGGAGATTCTTGATGAATTTTGCTAATTTTGAAACGCATCTGCCAGACTCGTTCCATGGAAGCGACAACGGTGCCATACATGTGAGTTGTTGGAAATTATTCAATTTGTCGACATTCAACAAAATCTAAGGATAGGTATGAATTGTCAAACGTAGCTAATTTTCACTTCATTCTTGGGCCTAAAAATCTAGTGCCAACTTTACATCTTGTTTATGTTCTTGTAGGCCTATCTGTTAGAGACTTTGGTACCTGATTCACTGAAAGAAGCACATGTCTGTTACTCAATATGGCACCAATCTAGGGGATATTCTGATCTATTCTTGTACGAAGCATGTATCCGGTCAATCCTGGGCTCACAACGAAACTTCGAGAAAGTACGGATTGTGAAAAAGGTGCGCTCCAAACTGAATAAATGTGTCAAAGAAATCACTTAAAAAAAGAAAAATGAAACTGTGCACTTATGTTTTACTTCAGGGCACTGGATGGGTGCGAGATATCTGGATTACTAATAGCAGGTGGAGTCCTGAAAGAGACTTCATGCTACATGGTCTTAAGGAGAATGATCGATCTTCCTATCCAGATGGGGTCCTCTCAAAGCTAAGGTGAACGCTTTTTTTGAACACTAGTTCGCATATCGGCTCTGCTTAGTCTCTGTCATACTAATATAATGTGCGGTTCATAATTATACGAATACCCCTTATTTTGAGAGTTCGAAAAGTTTTTGAAAGAAACTTTATGAAACCATTGTTGCTACTTAAAAGAACATAGATGAAAAGGTAAACAGCACAAAAAAGAAATCGGTGTTGATCCAAAAATGAATTTTACGCCGAATGCGCATTTTGAGCGGTCCGTAATTATACGAACACCGCAGACAAACTCCTTTCTTCAAGCAGTGCTGCAACTTTTGCATTACAATTTTTCATAAGGTCACACTAACAAAACCTGGGATATCTGTTATACACAGTGCAGTCAAGATCAAGAAGCATTACTTTTTCGGATAACAAAAAATGTTTTTGTAGCCATTACGCGTTAAGAACGTAGGTTCCAGGACTCTAATTAAGTTTATCAAAGCTCTGAGGTATACTATGCTTTTTCGACAGGTTCTTATTTGAAACTTCAAGAAACCCTTTGTACTCGTCCAGCATTTGTTTTGGCTACGTAGGCTTGAATCTACAAAAATAACTGTTTATGCGCTTACTACATACTGTAAATATACCTATTCTTGCTTTCATCTGAAAGCATCAGAGTTAGCCCTGCAAGAAATCCAAAAATATCAGCACGGATACATTATACAAACAATATTCTCTCACTACCATTTATGCACCAAGTAGAATCTATGCGGGGGATGGTCAAAACTTAACCGAACCATACCAAACATGCTGTATATATATCGTTGGGCTCGTCTTGAAACGCTGATCACAAATATACAGTGACAGCCAAAAAGTTGTGGACAAGCCGCCCTCCTTTTTCATCGCTCATTTTCGGATGGAATACGAAGATGCATATGGTGATAGAGCTCACCAAGAGCTACAACCACCACATTGCGCTTTCTGGAAAACATGTATTATAAAAGGTTTAAAGACCTTTTTTTTCAAAAAGTCCGAAAATGGCCGCGTCACAATGTCGCGGACAATAATTCTTCAAACGCGAAAATTTTTTGTTAGGTGTTTTCTTGGAGCAAAAACAGAAGTTATCCGGACAGGTAAGCATACTATATCGTAGAGCTCATCGAGGGCAATAATCGGATAGTAGTTACTTCCAAAAAACGCAAGTTTGAATTTTGTTTTGCTTTTTAAAAAAATAATTTCTATTTTTCTCTTTCAAAGCAAATTTCTTCACATGGAAATAAATCTATTCAAGGCATCCCAACAAAGCTGTTCGGATAATGTAGATGCTCTTTACCATCCTCCATGCATCGGAGGTGTGCTGGTGAGTTTCTTTGCTGAAAATGGCTCTTGACAGGTGCACATGACCCCACCTGCACCTCACCGCTGACTTGCACCGCTTTGCAGGCTTGTATCTCAGCCGGCAGTCATTCCACGAGCCTTCAATTAGGCTCATTCGAAAGAGCGTGACTTCCTGAACACGATGGTATGCAAAAAAGTTGGGTATGAGAAACAGTAGAGACTTGGCGGATGGGGCGACAAAGCGCAGCTTTAGAGGTGAATGGAGTGAAGGCTCTTATCAACACTAGAGCGGTCTGAGAGCTCCGAAATGGATCTAATACAAGAAAATTGGCGGTTTTGAACTTCCAGGGTGAAACTAGTGGCAAAAGAAGCTTCGCTCAATTTTAACTGAAAAATCCTTAGCCTACCACTGAAGCTGTGCTTTGTCACCCCATCCGCCAAATCTCTGCTGTTTCTCATACCCAACTCTTTTACATACCTTCGTGTCCAAGAAATCACGCTCTTTCGAATGAGCCTACTTGTAGGGTCGTGGAATGACTGCCGGCTGAGATACAAACCTGCAAAGCTGTGCAAGTCAGCGGTGAGGTACAGGTGGGGTCGTGTGCACGCACTGTCAAGAGCCATTTTCAGCAAAGAATCTCACCAGTACACGTCCGATGCATAGAGAATGGCAAAGAACATCCATTTTATCCGAACAGCCTTTTGGAATGCCTTGAATAAAATTCCATGTGAGGAAATTTGGCTTGAAGAAGGGAATTAAAAATTATTTTTTGAAAAAAAAGCAAAACAAAATTCGAGCTTAGGGTTTTGGAAGTAACTACTGCCCGATTATTGCCCTCGACGAGCTCTGCGATATAGTATGCTTACCTGTCCGGATAACTTCTGTTTTTGCTTCAAGAAAACACCTAACAGAAAATTTTCGCGTTCGAAGAATTATTGTCCGCGACATTGTGACGCGACCATTTTCGGACTTTTTTTAGAAAAAGGTTTTTAAAACTTTTATAATACATGTTTTCCAGAAAGCGCAATGTGGTGGTTGTAACTCTTGAAGAGCTCTATCACCCCATGCATTCCAACCGTATTTCCACCCTTGTTTTCCATCTGAAAATGAGCGATGAAAGAAGGAAGGCGAGTTGTCCGTAACTTGCGGTCCCTGTATGTTTATTATCTGCCAAGCGACTATCTGGGAGGAGTTATGAGCGTTTAAATGTGCAATTTGTCAAGTGTTCTTGGCGGATGTTCCACGAAATACGAAAAACACTTATTTGTTTTTGGTAAGTGTGCTTCTTCCTTTTAATTGAAATAACCATAACCGCTGTAAACCCGCGCCATCAGGCTCTTTTCAAGGATATATACTCGTTGAAACTCAAATTTTTTTTCATATTTGAACGCTCATAACTCCTTCCAGATAGTCGCTTGGCAGATAAAAAACATACATCTGAAATCAGCGTTCCAAGACGAGTCCGGTGATATACGGCATGTTTGGGATGGATGGATTAGGTTCTGACCATTTTCTCGTAAGTTTCGGGATCTAAAATTATGATGAACCTGCGGTAAGGTTGAGACTCGGATGAAAAAGCGACGGTATAAAGTGTTTCTTGAGGCGTCAAACAAGATAAGTGTCGAAAAAGCATAACATATCTCGAAGATTCTGTGCAAGTTGACAAAAATAGAGGTTCTTGTTCTTGGAGCGCAGTGAATACAAAAGATACTTATGTCATCCGATAAAGTAACGCTCCTTGTTTCTAGAGGAGAGTCTCACCAAAGTTTGGTTGTTGATATTTTTGCATATTGGAAGCCTTTTCTTTTCCGTCTTATTCAGTACGGGTTCAAAAGCGCATAAAATGCACGAAAACCCCGTTTTTATAAAGCCCCGTGGAAGCAACGCAAAGAGTTGTGTCCTCTCAGCCTAGTCTTCGCCACATTGCAGCAACAACATGGAGGTAGACGCCAAGTGGAGTGACATGTTGAAACCGCGCAAGGCCGTGGGCATACCTCACGCGATTTCAGTCGCCACGCGATCTTGCAATTGTCGACAGACAATTCCGTCTACAGACGTCTTCAAATTCAATAATGACAGACTCCAAATGTACAGCTTGTTTACGTTTCGTAGATTGATAAAATGCTTTATCTTCCGGACATTCAGACATTCTTACGATGAGTTATGAACAAATTGAGTATTGCCAAAACGCGTCGCTACTGAAACCGCGTGAGGTATGCCCAGGGCTTAGGAAGTAAACCGGGAGCGTCGTTCGGAGCCAAATCTCATTTTGCAGACTACTTTGAGGGCAAATTTCTCGGCTCAAAAGAACCCGGATCCTGTAGAATTTGGGGCGGTCGCCTTTCAGGGGGTCCTCTAATGCCGAACGCCTCCACCACCAGCGGTAATCTCGAGATGTGCTTTTTCTTCCATCTAAGCGCATGTCCATAATATCATCGTGACCTCTTTTCTTGCAATTTGAGCAATTGGAGCTACTTTTGTTTCGTTAGTCCTGTGTCATCGCAGACGTTCTTTCAGTGGATTCCAAGGTGCTTTCTCACACTGCGTATATGGCTGGCATTCAGCTATACAATGTTGATAACGGCATGGTAGAGTTGATTCTTGAGTTGCTGGCATTCGTTTTTGCGCAGTTTCTCTTTTGAAGATCTTTTTCCTTCCACTCTGCGTTCGTCCTGTCTACGACCTCCTCTAGGACTCCGTCTGCTGAGCTCTAAATGTGACTGCCTAGGCACTTGTATGACGTTATCATCTTTAGCTTTTCGCCATCAATGCTTGTTCGTGGAATTGATTTCTCCACTTCTATTTATACTGCTTTCCGTTCTATAACGGCTATCAGTTCTATCAGTTCTACCACGGCATTCATCATTATGAAGAACAAGGGAGGGAGGACTGTGTTTGGTGCACTTCAACCTTGGTGGAACCTTTTCAAGTACCCTACAGCTGTTTGTACCTGAACTGAAGCATGTGTTAGATCGATTTTGTCTACGAACGTACTCGTCCGGCACCATGTGTTTTCGTAAGGCACATCATATGACTTCAAGGCCTTATCGAATGCTTTCTCCAGGTCCAGAAAGGATGCACGTCTTCTCTATATATCTCCATCACTATCTCAGCCGAGTGGATGGCGTCGGTTGCTCCTACCTCTTCATAAATCCACACTGATCTGGTGACAACTCTATGTTAAATATCAAAGTCGCATTGCAATTACTCTTCTGAAGATCTTTAGAGTGAGACTCATTAGTCGGATTTGTTGGCAGGATACACAGTCTTCTATGTCTCCTTTGTTATTCTATATCTACATAGGGGTTGTTGCGCTGGTATACGAGCTGCGAGACGTATTCTTGCTCCTTATAATTTGTTTGAAGGAATTGTTAGCCTGCTCCAGATTGTCCACATACTCAGAGTCGTTTGTTATGTGTCGAAATTACCAGGGCCATTTTTTGTTTTTCTTACACATGGCGTTCTTCTTCCGTGGTTGTTGTTGGCCCTTCTATAGGATCAGCGGTCTTTGATGTCAATTCTTTCGAAGTATGTTCACCATCTTTCGATAGCGTCATCCGCCTTTCCCAAACTACATCCTCCATCTTTCTGTAGTGTCCTCCGTTTTTGGCATCCTACCAAGTCTGTCTTTGATATAAAAGGAATGCTTTGCATCCTTTGTAAACTTCGCTTTTTTTCTTGTTATCCGTCTCTCGCAAAACTAGATCCCTCTCTTAGAAATACGCAGTGATTTTGTTTTGTCCAAAAATCGTCCTCGACTCGTAATGCCGTCGCTTGTACGTACCGCGAGAGGGTCAGTACTATAGTTAGCACCGAATATTCATGTTCGAATAATTTATTCGAAATATTCGACTATTCGAATATTCGAATAGTCGAATATTTGAGAAAGTCCATTTATTCGATTATTCGAATAGTCGAATAAATGAAAAACACCTATATTCGAATAATTCGTTCATTCGACGATTTCGAAAAATGACTTATTCGAATATTCGTTCATTCGAGGATTTTCAAAAAAAGGTCATTCGAATATTCGTTTATTCGAGTAGCTTCGAAAGATAGTTATTCGAATATTCGAATATTCGAATATTGCATTGAGATATTCGAATAATATTCGAACATTTATTCGAAATTAGTCGAACATTCAATCAAGTTTGGTTATTCAAGTATTCGTTCATTCGAATTATGGAATGTGCCGATATTCGAATATTCAAATTCGAATAAAATGAAAAACGAAATTTGAATAATATTCGTTCATTCGAAGAATTTTCGAAAATCAAATATTCGATATTCATTCGTTCGAAAAATTTTCGAAAATAATTATTCAATATTCATTCATTCGAAAAAATTTTTAAAAATGATTATTCGATATTCGTTCATTCGGCGAAAATTTCTGTTCGTTACAACTATAGTCAGTACAGTCTGAACCAATCCCAACCAGGCCAAGATTGGCATGGCGAAAAACGCTAGGTTTTTGCGTCACGCCTACCTTGTCTGCTCTTTCTTTAATCTCTTCGCTCTCTCCGACAGTGCTATATGCAGCGCACCCTAGCGCTGCGAGCGCGTAGATTTATGCCAACGCTTAGCCTGATCCTGATTGGAACAGACTGTTCAATAGCTGACACACGTACAGTCGAGTAGATTTAGCGGTAAATAAGTGTGCTTGCACAGAAGGTAAAATGCGGTGAAATTTGCGCGTGAACAAGTAGCCACGTCACTACCGCGGGTATCTTGCGCGCGCAATTGGCCGGCGTCACAGCCGAAACTATTTCTTCACGCGCCAATTTTACCGCATTTCACCTTCTGTGCAAGCACACTATATTTACCACTAAATCTACTCGACTGTGTAGTCACTTTATTGTTTTGCACCGTGTAAGGCACAGTTAAAGCACAGTGGAAGCGTTGTGCCAAAGTGCCTGAATCAAATTACTGATACTATCGCATGAATATAGGCTAGGGACACTATCATTGAGACACCCTTAATGGTTGTACGCGTCTCTTACATGCTGACCAAGCAGGAGCTTTGAAGGAGTGATTTCTTGGCTAATCAGTTAGACTTTGCTTACAGACTTCAAGCGGATCACCACTTGAGGTGGTATCGGAAATGAGCTTGCTCTGTTCCAACAAATAGTCTCCCTCATGCGTTTTGAAATTCATCCTAGTAGTAACATCAAGAGACTTTTTCCCGGTCTAGCACAGGCACATATGATAGTGATAATGTATAGGATAAAGTGAAAAATTTTCTCGTTTTAGTCCGTATTTTAAAGTCACAATTTCAACTTTGTACTCTTTTCAGGTCATTGATATCATATCGATTCACGTGGTATCCACCTTTATCAACAAACTTGGATATGCAAAGTATGTTAGTTATAAAGGATCATTTGCACATATATCACTTTTCTTAAGAATGCTCAACGGGTAGTGTGGAATGGCATTATGATCAGCGGCTACGGGTCTCAAGAGAAGAGGTTGAAGAACGTTTGCATGAGCTGGCGCGAACGGTAGAAAAGGATAGATGGAGCGCACTTGGAAGAGTTCAAGATTACTTGTAAAAATTTGCAAATATATCAGTGAGATAGCATCGATTCCTGGCTGAATGGTGACTTTCGCTAGACATGTATACTTGCTGGTATCGCAATCTTCCCTATTGCGCTGGATTTTTTGATGACGTAGGTCATCAATGCATGAACAAGAGTGTCTCATATTGGAGGATATATCTACTTTTGTATGTACACTGATACATTATTTGTTTGTTAACTTGTTTTTTATCCGTAGACCGTAGACCGCCGCTGTGTTTTGCAGTCCTGATTGTTTTGCTAATATGCATCCATATGTGTTGATCTCCTTCAGATAAATAATCAAAGAATAGTGAAGTAAACATGAAGTTCCGCTCAAGCGATCAATCATATGGCTCTGCGACTTCTATGTTGTACGACGCGTCATATCGCTCCGTTTTAGGCCTCAAAACCCTACAATCCCGAAATTTCTTGGAAAAGGGAGCGTGCCGGCAATCACTCTCGCCTTTTCCCTTTTCATCGCAAAGTTAAAACAAATTGCAAAAATTAATTAATTTCAATTATAATCTGAAGCAAATCAGTTGCAAGTCTTGTAGCTTATAAAGTTGACCTTCAAAAACCTCGCTACTCATTCTCGGGGGAGAGGGGAAAAATGAGGGTTACCTCCTCCCCGAGGCTCCCCATCTTCGCTGGGTTTCTCTTGGTAGGTAGTAATTCATTGCAGGAATGAAAAGTGATATTTTGTCCTCTAAACTTACTCACTTAAAGGTTAGATCAACAACTTTCAACCAAATAGAATTAAATCTTTGGAAAGACCCTCTGCAATGACATTCTCAATGTTTATCATCTATCTGGCTTCGAAATAATTATAGCACTGACTAATTTCTACGATTATAAGAGGCATCAAGTTGTTAGAGGCTAGTTCCAATTGAATGGACCCTTCAAAGACACATAGAAAGGAATTACGTCGTTAAAGTAAATGTCCAACCTTTGGGCACGTTCATGGAGCATTCTTTGCTCTACTTGCATCAGCATATGTCCTTATTGATGTTCATAATGGCATGAAAAACGATGTACTTGAAACGAACTTCTGTGCCGACGTCAGACCATCGTACCTATTGTCCACCCTTTTTACAACGAGTTATAGATATAAAGGTATAAAATATGTATTCACGAGCTTTTTAGCCTTTTTAAAAGCTTTGTAGGTGCTTTTTCTAGTATAAGACATATGTTCTCCTACAGGAGTTGTTGAATATTTTTCCAAACATTTATGAAAATTCATGATTAGTATAATCTCTCTTGTTCTCTCAACGTTGCTTACGTCCTGAGCTCTATTCTATACGTCCTGAACTTGAGAATTTCGTCGAAGTAATTTTCTTGAAACAAAATTTATAACCGTTAGTAGATAGAGACCAGAGGCATTAATTAGAAACTGTGATGGAGGTTAGATTCCAAATTAGCAGATTTGAACGGCAGATTTATCCTTTTATTTGATTATCTCATACAATTCTTCGAATTTTCTAACTTTATTTTCCTTCGTTTGAAAAAATCTCCTAATTTGCTCCACAATTTCTCAAGCTGCGGTCTTCTATGAATATGCGTTGCAAGGCTGGCAAGCTTCCGTAAACGAAAGGAAGAATTTGCACAGCTTGTTGAATACTAATTTCTTCTTCTTGCTTTCCGCATATTCACTCAAATCAAACTGATGACGGGAAGAAAATAGCTACCTTGTGCACAAAGATGTTACAAATTTTGTACTTTACTGAAGCTTATTTGTTTACTACCTTGGCTGAGAAAGAATTTTGAACAGATCGGAAAAATTTAACAACGAGATAATTGAGTCTTCGAGCAAAAACATGGTAAATTAGACGAAAATTAGAAAATGGAGTCGAATAATTAGAACGAGACTGATTAAGTGAGTACATGAACAAAAAGTTGGATAATTGACAAAAGCTGTTCATTCTATCTTTTAAAGCTGAATGTCTTATTGTAACGTCTATCTGTATGTATATGTGTAGTATATTCCGAGTAGAAACTGATATTTTGGACTGACGAAGACCGAACTTGGAACACATACGGGGGCAAGTGTCTGAGCTACTTCCAGTCATTGATCGCTATCAATTTCGATTTTTTTGCAAAGCTTCATCAAAGAAGCTGGGAGTTGGCACAGAGGGGTAAGTGATCATGCTGATTACGAAAATGATATTGACAGGGCCGGGCGGAGTTGGGTTTGCCAGCTAATAATACATGAAATCTCCATCTTTGCAACAGGTCTTGTTAGCAAAGTTTTCATAGAAAAACTGTAAAGAAGAAAGTGAGTCACAATGTAGGATATTGTGCACTTTTTCTACTTCAGGATAAAACATAAAAAATTTCACTATAAAGTCTGAATTGTGGTACTGACTTTCAGGATCCTGCGAGTAAAAAAATCTACATTAACAACTTCACTAGTTTGAAAAGTGAGTCCACATTGTTATGCGGTCACATGAGTATGTAGTTTTGACTTTTGTGAATCCCCGCCTCTATTCATCCGCTACACAATGGTTTTGAATACATATTCATGTGGCATTAAGTTCAATCAATCTGGCTCCACTAACATAACGGCTCAGACTTTCATAGTTTACATGCAACAAAGATCGTTAATTTTCGAACTTTCTCTCTAGAAAAAGGAGTTGACCGACAATGCAGGCCATCTAGAATTTAAATCCATCTTGTTCCTACGTTTGTGTTGATGTGTTCTCATTTTGTATTTATTCGAAATTACATCTTCCGAAGCTATTTTCCACCTTCTTGAGCTCGAAATAACCTCGAACTAAAATTGCTGAAGAATTGAGCTCAAAAATGGCTATTTATCTTCATTCTTGCTATGAATTATGCATTACAGCTTTCATTCGTAACCCGCTACTAGTTTTTGAATCATACAAACTTTCCAAAATCTCTTATATTTTCTATACTCTAAGAACAAGCTTAGCACATTTTTCTTCAGAGATCCAATATCCATGCTATTACCTCCAGCACTTTTTAGTGCATTAGAGAGCGGTAATTTATTCATAGCTGCTTTCTCATTTGGTAGCGTAAGCAAGACAAAGGCTCCTTCGATTTCACATTTGGCCGTTATAGTCTAAGTTTCAAGTTCTTCGTCTCCATCTTCATTCACATAAGTTGAATTAGCTGATTGACATCCATACCGTTATCTGCATTGCTGAAATTGCTGAAATTGCTGAAATGCTGAAATTTTCTACACTCTTACTGTGCTGTGCTAACCTGCTGAAAACCAATATATTCTGTTACTCTTCTCTTCTTGTCTTCTTCACCTTCTTCATTTGTGAATGCTAGCCTGTTCATGTCCATCAAGATGTTTTGGATCCAAACTGTGTTTGATGAGTCTTCTTTTCGAAGGGCTCAATTCAAATCCAAGCTCCTTCGATAATTTTCAAATTATCAAGGAGTTTCCACTCTCCCCTACATAATCATCCTGCTCTGCACCCTCTAGTCTCTAGAAAATTTGTCATTTTGGAGCAGACCTATGAGATAGACAGATGGAGAGAAACCTGACATGGCCATCCTTGACTCACTGCCGCAATCTATGTGTTTCTTAAAATATTTTACTGAAAAATTCTAACCAGTCAATGGATTTCATCTTTTTCACTTGCACGACTCAATTTCCGCATTGACTTCGATTGTTCCTAGCTTCCTCGATGAAATTTCGTTACAACTAATTGCTATTTAAAAGCACAACCAATCACATAATCGATTTGCTTTATTATTCAAGCATACGCCAGTGCTGTGGATCCTGGTTGGATTGAACATTCTCCATAAGTGATGTATGATTTTGAAATTCTTTGGTACCTAATGGCACCGACTCGTTGTCAGAAATTTTACACATCGGTCAAAAAACCCTTTTTTGCAAAAGAAAGTCGAATTACGAAATGACAGAAGCTCAGTCTTGATTCCGTGATATGAAACAAAGACAATGTCAGCAGATCTAATTTATACAATGCATAAAATGTTATGATTCCTTCGTGTGAGATTCTCTTCTTTGCACGTTGCGTCTAACGGTATAATTTAGCACAACCACGAAAGCTGTTTTCGCCCAAATCCTGAAATTTTTGTTTCACCAAGTACAGCTCCCGTACTTGAGTCTGACGTTTTAGAAGAAGTTCTTCTCTTGGATCATTGACTGAATCGGAATCTCCGCCTGTGTTTAATTTAGTGCATGTTAGAGAAATCTGTTAAGGTTCCTTTTGCTTCTCCTTCTTCAATACATCATGAAGACTTTTATCTTACGCGTGCTCATTCCATTGAAGACTTCTACCTTGCACTCATTGCATACCCTTAATACGCAGAGCCATCTACTCTGGTAAATTTCTAATTCTGAGCGACATAAAAAAACACGATCTTCCCCTGAAAAGAAGCAGTTATCCAGGACGAAGTTCTTTATGAGCTTATATAATTGGAATAACCGTGAATGAAGCAAATGTAATTAGCACTATCTCAAAAATATCCCAGCGAAACCGAAAAACTGCGTTTTTGTAGTCTTTTTAGGAACAATTTTTCTGTAAAAGTTTCCACAACAATAAGGACGGTGTTCTCATTCAACCTCTTCTTAGACTACTAATGAGTTTCAAAAGTATTGGAGCTGTTGGAGCTGTTAGAATCCAATAAAAAACGAAAAACTACATTTCAATTTTGCTTAGAGAATTGCACACGAAAATGCTGATCCAACTAACTGAGGAGTGATCTTTGACATCGGCGACATAAGCACTGATTCTAGTCGTGTCATGACGGTCAGAACGACAGTATACAATAGTAGGGTCCCCTACTAAGTCCACGCCCGAATCGCGGCGCAAAATTCGCTTCAAACGAGAAAGCGTTCCGGCAGCAACGCTCCCTCTAGTAATGCCTGCCCATCCGCGCTCGCTCATCTAATCCCGTACCCGGAACCCGCACCGCGGTTTTCCGGAATGGGATTGTCGGCGTTTTCGCGGATTCTCGACTTCATATTCGGAATCAGGACATGAGGTGGTCCCAGAACGACAAAAGCGTGGAATTTGGAAATCTGGACGGCCCTTTCAGGAGGCCGGAGAAAAATAA